TAGGTGAGATGAAGTCTGGCCATTCTCACTTCCAAGGAGCATTTCGTCTGCACTTCCTCCAGGACAAATCTTTTATTTCTTTTAGCAGTCCATGGTACTTACAGCATTCTTTGCTAGCACCAAAATTTAAAAGCATCAACTCTTCTTTAGTCTTCCTTATTCATTGTCCAGCTCTAACATGCATATGAGGTGATTGAACATATCATGGCTTCTGTCAGGCACACCTTAGTCCTCAAGGAGACATCCTTGCTCCTCAGCACTTGAAAGAGTTCCTTCATGGCTGACCTGCCCAGTGCTACATGTCATCTAATATCCTGACTGCTGCTTCCATTGGCATTGATTGTAGAACCAAGCAATGTGAATTCTTTGACAACCTATATCTTTTTTCCATTTATCATGATGCTGCTTATAGATACAGTTGTGATGATTTTTGTTTTCTTTATATTGAGAAGTAATCAATACTGCAGACTGTATTCTTCAATTTTCATCAGTAATGCCTCAAGTCATCCTCACTTTCAACAAGCAAAGTTGTGTTGTCAGTGTATCTCAGGTTGTTAATGATTCTTCTTCCAATCCTGATGCCACATTTTCCTTCATATAGTCCAGCTTCTCGGATTATCTGCTCAGCATACAGATTGAATAAGTATGGGGAAAGGATACAACCCTGATGCACTCCCTTCTTGATTTTAAACCATGTAGTGTCCCCTTGTTCCATTCGAACAACAGCCTCTTGATCAGTGTACAGGTTCCTCATGAGTACTATCAAGTGTTCTGGAATTCTGATTCTTCTCAATGTTATCCATAATTTGTCATGATCCACACAATCCAAAGCCTTTGCATAGTCAATAAAACACAAGTATACATCTTTCTGGTATTCTTTGCTTTGAGCTAAGATCCATCTGACAGCAGCTATGATATCCCTTGTTCCATATCCTCTTCTGAATCCAGCTTGCACCTCTGGAAGTTCTCTGTCAATATACTGCTGCAACCATTTTTGAATTATCTTCAGTAAGAATCTTACTTGTGTGTGATATTAATGATATTGTTCGATAATTTCCACACTCTGTGGGATCACGATATGGATCTCTTCCAGTCAGTTGGCGAGGTATGCCAAATCTCTTGGCATAACCGAGTATGGGTATTCATTCTGTCAATTTCTGGAGCCTTGTTCTTTGCCAATTCCTTCATTGCAGCTTCAACTTTCTTCTTCAACACCATTGGTTCTAGATCATATGCTACCTCCTGAAATGGATGAAGATCAACCAATTCTTTTTGGAACAGTGACTCTTTGTATTCGTTCCATCTTC